GATGTTGTTGTTTATGTCTGACATAATCCACTTGGATGTAATTTAATAGTTCAGGATCCTCTACGCACTACAATCATTATTCAGACTATTCTGATGTAGTTGTTTTATGTCTGACATAATCCACTTGGATGTCATTTAATAGTTCAGGATCCTCTACGCACTACAATCATTATTCAGACTATTCTGATGTTGTTGTTTATGTCTGACATAACCCACTTGGATGTCATTTAGTAGACCACTTCTCAGACTATTTTGGTGCCACAACAAAAAAATTACAGTTGAATGTGACACCCAACTGCAGAACATAGCAAGGAGGGAATTAACATGCTAGGAAACATGAAAATATATTTCATTATAAAAATATTTTAATTAAATACACTTTTACCTATTACATACATTTTTTTTTTCTTATACAAAACAGACATCTTGGAAATGAAGAATATTTCTGCTACTCTAGCTGTGGGCTTGGTACAGGAGAACATGGTTATTCAAAACAGATGTCTTGGAAATGAAGAATATTTCTGCTACTCTAGCTGTGGGCTCGGTACAGGAGAACATGGTTATACAAAACAGATGTCTTGGAAATTAAGAATGTTTATGATACTTTAGTTGTGGGTCCAGTATGGAGAACACATACTTATAGCTATTTCTCGATCTTCATCATTGCCATCTGAACATCGTGCTTGGTTGCTCCAGTCTCTATACCCTACTCGACTGCCCTCGGCAATATCTAATTTGCAAAACTTCACACCAGCCCTCGCATGCCCTCTGTGCAGGTACTGTATATAAGCAGTGTATGTCAACAAGATAATCACTTTTTAGAGACTTACCTCATCCCAGTCACTAACACCAGCTCTTAGTGGGGAGGAAGGAAGGGAGAGAATCAGCAGAGGTAAGTATGTTTGGAAATATATTTTCAGATTAGGAAAATGAAAACTTCCAAAACATACATACTTCTGCTGACACTTATGGCTAGAATCCCACAATGAAAAGGCAGAGAAGCTGGTGAGGGAATAGTTCATACAGAAAGCATCTGCATAGAACAAAGGTGTATCATGAGAAGTGTTACCCAAGCATAGAAAACTGCACTACATCCAGAACAGGTATGCTCTACACTAAAACTACAAAAAAGTGAAAAGGGTGGAATATTACACAAGTAAGTATGATGGGCCAGCCCCAACCAAGCAGCAAAGGTTCAATGCTTTGGGTTGGGGGGCTGGATTTAAGGGGTCATGGAACCCATATCTCCAATTGGTGGCAAGAGCAGTTCGACCGCAAATATATATTAATATCTTTGTGACAGGATCCCTACCAGCAGCCACGGAATAATGTGTTTCGAACAACCGGATTTATGAAACAAAGAAAGCAACACCAAAGTGGACAATCCTTCTGATCAACCTGAAGAAGAAGTCCAAAAGGCAACATCCCAGGCTTGGATTGACAGGATCATATACGCCATGCTCCACCCAAGGTCCAGAACTCATCCAGTCTGGACTTACAAACAGTCATTTTCACTTCCCAACCAAGTGGACAAGGAGAATTACACTTACCATGAAGAGATGGATTTCCACATGAGAAGGTGGTATCCAGACCCTGATATTCGTGTTGTTCCTCTCTAGCCACCACTTGAGATCTGTAAATTGTTCAAGCAAAGAGACTGTGTGATCCAAAGGATTGGTATGCATGAGTCACTGGCCACAAAATGATCACTGAAGGAATCTCGTATGGGCCTGATCCAATAATATGACTGATCCTAGAGAAGCTCGAATCGCCTAAACAGAAAGAACCATCCATGCAGTGGGAGAAGATGACATAAGCAGATGCCTGACAAACCCGTCCCTAGTATGAAGTCTGATGGGACAAGGTTGAGCTCGACTCAAAGTGCACTGAAAAACACCCCAAGATAGATTATGTGTGAAGTTTGAGAGAGAATGGATTTTTCCAACCTGATATGAAATCCATCCTTCTGGCATCAGAAAGGAGAATATGTGGATGTAGTGTGGCAATGTGACAGGTTGGTGCCAAAAAAAGTAATATTCCAAATAGTGTTGTGTGCACAGACCCAAAAAATGAAGATGCTGCTCAAAGGCCCATTCTTCTTGGCAGAAAACATATGGTGCTGAAGCAAGTCCAAATGAGATAGCTTGGAACAGCTTCATCTGGTCCTCTTGCAAAAAATGTAGAAATCGATGAAGACTCTGCTATGGGGATGTGAAGGGAGGCATCTGAAACATCAAACTTGGTCATCCAAAGACCAGGTGTGAAGTGCCATTGAAGTTGAAGAAAAGATACCATGGTAAACAAGGAGGCTGTAGGAAGAGATTGAGTAAAGACAGATTGATGATAAGAAGTCAATCTCTAGTGATGAGAATAGAATCCTGGATGAACGGGATCATCCTTCTGAATAGGTAGACACGGACACCACTGTTGTCATCCCAACCTTCTGAAGATCCCCAAAAATACAGATGGAACTGATTCTGTAAACCAATAGGACGAGGTATCGAAGAAGGGAGCCATGTGATGCAAATGATCGATCCTCCAGAATTACCCATTGGAGTAGAAGAGAGGCGATCAGCCAATGACAACAAAGAAAACTGAAAACATGCCATATAAAATCAGGCTTCGAAAGTTTCAGGGATTCCAGCAAACTAGTAAGGCCGAAAAAGAGGTGATTTCTGGAAATCACAAAGGGGAGTATCACAATACAGTAGTAAGAGTGAAATGAATCCACAAAAATGCAGATCTGGTAAGAGATGTAACAGGATCTAATCTGGAACCCCATAGATCTAACAACAAATCCAACTGTTGATTGTCCAAATATACTACAGACAGACAATGATAAGCCAGGGCATGTTGCTCTGATAAATGAGAGGAGCAAGGCATAGCAATACTCTCTCGTAATTGCATTGCAAACATCCCAACATACACGGCAATATCAGGGGAAGGAAGAAGAAATAAGTAATCCCTCCAAGATCTATCTGAAAACAAGGCAGGGTAGACTCAAAAGTAAGTAAGGGGTGAATCCTCAAAGCTTCACAAACTCATGTAACTAACTGTAGAAAAGAGACAGAAGGTGGCCGATCAGATGAGCTCACAGTAGAGGCAGCTCTAGTGAGAGAAGGAGCAGAAAACAGTGTCTAAATTCTCCCCAGACAACAAAAGAGGAATGGATGAGGTCTGGTTAACCCCCATGCGAGAACCCGTTACACGGGAATTCATACCCGCATTTTTTTTTGTTTTTGAACTGCAAAAGAAAACCAACGAAATATCATCAACAGGGGAAAAAAAAACAAAACAGATTACTGTCAAAATGCTTCAAAAACAAAAGGGGGAACCAGAAAACATAATTCCTAGCACTAGCTAGTGAATATATTGTCGACATACAATGCTTATATACAATACCTGCATAGAGGGAGTGTGAGGTTTGGTGTAAAGTTTTACAAATTAGATATTGCCGAGGGCTATCGAGTGGGGTATAAAGACTGGATCAAGCGAACACAATATTTAGATGGCAATGACGAAGATCGAGAAATAGTTATAAGTGTCAGCAGAGTTATGTATGTTTTGGGAAGCTGAAGGTAGTGAGCAACAAATAACACCTAACAGCAGCAGCAGGTAGGTTATCACATTTAATTTTCTTTGGTACAAATCTAAAAAGTAGATACATGGATCACCACACACACATTGCAAGTTGTGAAAGACCAGAGAATCCACAGCATGAATAGCTCTGCTACATCACAATAGGTGAACGTGGCTCAAAAAGGATTTATTCCTGGCCCATCCATAAAGAAACACAGTAACCACTAATACCTGCATAAAGTTTCAACTAATATCTGAAGTAATTCTCTTCAGGAATTTTGTAATAACCTCTTATAAAAAAGGTATTTCATAAGAGGTTAATAACATATTGCAGCAATCACTGAATATTTATGCTGTAAATATACTTTATGAATGTAGGGCTTACAAATGTTTTGAGTTGTTAAACAGTACACTATATTTATACATCTTAATTATTACATACATCTTTCCTCACACACTTTACAAGAATATAGAAATACTGTAGACATAAAGTAAAAGATGATGAACTTTAGGATTGTTACTTCTGTGCTCAGTAAAACAGTAGTTAATGATAAAGTATTTGATCTGTTAGCTGAATTACAAAGTAATGAAGTGGACTAAAACAAGTAACTTATAATGGTAACTGAATACTAATGCTTAAAATGAATGTTTAGATCTGTAAAATACCAACCCACAAACATACACGTTACATAAGGGTTAAACATTTCATACAGTGTGTAATTCACATTAGCTCTCAGATATAATACTGAAGTTACTCTTCAACTTCTATACAAACAGAATGGAATGTAAAATACTTTTAATGTTGGTTGTTCTTTCTTTGGCTTTTTCTTTGGAGGAGCTTGTTTTTCTTTCTCAGCATTTCTTTTTAACCGACGTAGCTGCTCCTGAATCCTTAAAAAAATACAGTCAAATTTAAAGACCAAATTTCTAAGTAAAAGACATTTGTTTATGTATTTACGGTCATATAACACCAGCATTTAAATTAGCAAAACAAATCAAAATTTTGTACACTAGAAAACTATAATACAGTAATGGAATACCACAGTTGAATAGTATATAACCACTCCTAATTTAGAAATAGAAAATTCAGTCCTACAAGAGCCAATCAAACTATCATCAGTGCATCTGCATCCCTGAGGCCTAGAGGCAACTTTGACCATGTGAAATATTTTGAGTTACTTTATTTCACTTAAACATATGGCTTACTTAATATAAATTATTTATATAATTGTGTTTACTTTATTGTATTAATTCAGTACAATAAAAAGTAATAATAAATTTCATTTTACTTAGTTGCCAAAGAAATTTCAATAATGGATTATTAACTTTAAATCTTTTGTGCTTTATCTACAAAATTTGTGATAATTAGTTAACTGAATAACTTTCACATAAGCTATGATACCCCACGTATAATACCTGTTTATTATAATACCAATTACAACCCATATGGGGCAAGTGGTAGTACAATGGAAAGAATGTATACAAACATTTGATGGTAGTGGAACTGTTATAAATAAAACATGTCCAAATCCTTAGAAATAATAATGTTTAAAAAAAGATTAAAATAGAAACGAAGGTCTGGCAAATATCTGCATAAGAATGTGGCAGGACTTCCTCCAAGATTTATGCAGAAATGTAAACTTACACACAGGTCACGGTCTGGCTAAGAAGAAATAAATGACACTTATTTCTTCCAAGTTCACTCCTGAAGATGATGTGGTAAACGTTGAAAAACACAGAGTCCACATTTCAGATATGTTTTTAATTGTGCATCAATTTTAACATTTTGTGTTGTTTATTTATTATTTTAACATTATACACAAGTGCAATAAAAATAATATGTATGAAACAGCTGGAAATTGATAAAGGCAAAAAACACAAAAATAAAATCAATAAAGAAAAGTACTTAAACCAAGAAATAACAAAGAGTAATGTTTCTCAAAGCGGGGTCTGCTAGGGGACTGTGAATCATATCCAAATATTCATAGAAATATAAAAAAAAAAGATTTATAAATGCAAAATATTTTTCATAAAATTAAATTTATATGAACTAAAACATTTTAGTTTGGAATACAGCTTTTTATGTACTCATGATTCTTTCTTCAAAATGAAAAACATCAATAGGTTCAGGGGTTAGAAAAATAAAATTAAAATTAAAGAGGTCCTAAGGTTACTCAAGTTTGAGAACAACTGACATACAGAGGAGGAATAAAACCATTGTTAAACTAAAATTAATTAACAATTATTGGAATCAATAGTTATTCACAAAAGGAATGAAGGGCTAAGATAATACAAGTTTGATACAGCCAAAAGAAAGGGAGAAAGGAATCCCAAAAAATAGCAAAACTGAACATTTGATACATTTTGACTCCTGGTACATCCACAGAAGCAACAGTTCACAATGAATTTACAGAAAGTAATGACCAGTAGAAAGCAAAGAACATTTTTAGGAAACAATTAATGAAGATATAATATCTAGATAACACAGCCACAAAATACAGATGACCAGAAATAAGGTACATTAGTAAAACATGGACTTGTTCAAGTCAAAGGTGTTATTCTTCCATCAGAACAAAATTGTCTACGGTGATTTTTAGAGCATGGATATTTTAATAAATGAAAAATATGGAAGAAATGACACATCAATGGTTGATCTGTTGTTTAGAACTAAATGCAGTATTCTGTTTTCTCTGTAAATTGTTTGGCAACATAAAAAATACAACCACGTGATGAAGGTCTTATATCATTCCTGACAATATATTAGTGGAGAGAATTATAACTGATTAAAAATAAATCCTACAGTAGATATTTTAACATAAATTGAAATTGAATGCTAACATTTAATAGACATGTTTAATGGGACAATTGCAAAAGTAAAATGTTATAGCAGAGAGATTTCAAACTAAGATTTCTGCAGAAGAATTGATATGTTAAATCACCCTAGAAAGAAGTTTGTTTTTTTATCTCAAGTAGAATTGGTGGGAAAGCCTGACCCTGTAATGAATAAACACATTCAACAGTTCACACACACAAGCTAATACAGATGTTCTTGTTGTCTGTAATGTGTATTAAGTACTATTCTACCATAGTGGATTGTATGTACCCCTGACATAAGTCATCAACAGCAGATGTTGGTAAAGTTAAGCATATTAACTCTCTCACTACAAGGTCAGTCAATTTGACTGACTTTGTAATCATTTTGTACTCCTTATAGTTTCCATACTATAACTTTTAATACACTTTGTGTATCATCATAAAATTTGTCAGACTATTAGCAAACATTACAAGACTTTTGTACACAAAAAAATTACATTTTTTAATGAAGTATTTTTACTAAAGATTTGTCTGTGAATATATGTAGTATTTCTTTATACTAGTCCAAGTGCTAAGTGATTTCCACATTAAGACTAAAAATACTTTTCTTTCTCTCAAAAATCTCAAATTTTATTTGTATAATCTCAAAACCCTACTAAATAAACACCTTTTATCAGTAAAATTTTATATTTTAGCTGTTATTTTCTCTACCCTAACTTTATACAAGATTGGTCAATTTGATCGACCTCATAACCACCAAAAAGTAAAATTGAAATAAATCTAAATTACCATTTTTTTTTTAGAATGACTTCAAATTGTAACATGGAACTACATTTATTCATCCTGAATAGCTTTAAGCCTTTAACAGTATACATCTATTTATACTGAAATTTTTGTTTTATTGCCCTTTGAACCCTGTCTAACTACTATTCACACCACAATAAGTTGTAAATAACTTGACAAACTTGCAGCTCATGTTACACTACTGAATTACATTATGCACAAGCTACTTGTAAGCATACCTCCTGAAAACATTTATTGTACTATTATTACATATTTCACCTAATCTAACCTTAAACAAAATAAAAAGTTGCCTATTATTACATTGTATAATAATAAATAAAAAAATAAACATGTAGAAGAAGAAATAAAGTACTTACCTGGGTCTTCTTTGTTTTTGCTGTTGACAGTCGATGACACTTAAACCCTACTTTCTTAACTTATGGTAGTACTGCACTAAACTGTTTTATATAATTAAATAATGCATCAAAGAACACAGAATAATAACGTGAAAAAAGCAGGCAATGTCCCATAACAATCACAATTTTTATGGCTTTCTAACTATGCAAAAAGAACTGTTAAAACTTCATCTAAGCTCAAAGATGAGTTGCCCATCTTGACAATTCTATTTACAGAAAACAACTTAATATCATACATCATTTGATAGACCCTATTCGTTACAACCAATATGGTTTTGAACATCAGAGAAAACTATTGGCAATTTCTGAAATAGAGGATGTGACAGATGGACATGACAAAAGGGGTCTGATTATCTATTTCATGGCTCTATAATCAAACGAGATTGAAAGCTATGAAAATTATGCTTTGTCCAAGTCATGACAATATTATAATGAGTAATTTATGTTAAATTTTGTACTTCTTCAACTGGTGGTAAATAAATTACAGAAGAGGGAATGCCTAGAGAGCAAAAGTCACAATTTTTAAACAAGGGAAAATTCTAGACTTTTATTTTAATATGGCCTTATAAAAGTAAGAACTTAAAATTTATATATTATTAAAATATAGTGTATTATCTATGTTTTTATGCTATATTTATTGGTATACCATGAAAAGAAAATAGTTTAATTAAATTTTGATTGTAACTCACTAAAATCTCATAACACGCTCAGAAAAAGTTGCCTCTAGACAGGGGTTAAGTAATATTCTATCATGGTGGACTGTACTCCTGACATAAATCATCAAGATTATAGGGTCACCTGGTACTCAAACATATGCTTACATTTAAGGGAATTGTATTGCCATTGCTAACAACTCTTTTATTGCGAATAAGAAAAGATGAGGAGCCTATGCTCTGGCCAAGTTTAATAAATAGGAAACTCATAGTCATGTATTGAAAGACAAATAGTCTGCCACCAAATGTTCTTCACAGATAGATATAAATTTCACTATGTCCTTTTTGGTGTCTACCTCCATGTATATGTAGTCACAAGAATGTGGCAAACACTCCTTCAAGATAGAGAAAATGGTTTTGAAGGTGCTACAACAGACTTTAAAATGGTTTTGAAGGTGCTACAACAAACATTAAAATGGTTTTGAAGGTACTACAACAGACTTTAAAATGGTTTTAAAGGTGCTACAACAAACATTAAAATGGTTTTGAAGGTGCTACAACAGACTTTAAAATGGTTTTGAAGGTACTACAACAAACTTTAAAATGGTTTTGAAGGTGCTACAGCAAACATTAAAATAGTTTTGAAGGTGCTACAACAAACATTAAAATAGTTTTGAAGGTGCTATAACAAACATTAAAATGGTTTTGTACGTGCCATGACAAACATTAAAATGGTTTTGGAAGTGGAAAGTGATACAATAAATATCAAAATGGTTTTGAAAGTGCTATGACAAACATTAAAATTGTTTTGGAAGTGGAAAGTGATACAATAAATATTAAAATGGTTTTGAAGGTGCTATGATAAACATTAAAATGGTTTTGTACGTGCTATGACAAACATTAAAATGGTTTTGAAATTGCTACAACAAACATTAAAGAGCTGGCAGAATAATTATCAGTTGTTCCAAAACTAGAAGAGATTCAAGTGCCTTGCTAAAAACGAATCTGAGAATAAACCAAACAATGATGCACAACAATGGTTGAAACTGAATTTTTTTAAGTTACAGTCGACTGTGCTTTAATAAAATTGGGAGATATTTTGAGTTGCTCCATAACATGTTAATTTTTGGATCTCAGGGTTGTAGTAGAGAAATACAGACCATTAACTGGTAAAATCATGCATGGATTTATCTGTTGCACTATCTAGTACCAATGGAGCAAAGTC